TTTGGTGTCCCTCAAACCCAACCCCAGTTAGTTCCACCTCAATCCCAGTTGGATCCAACCCAATTTTAGGGACATCCAACCCCAATTCAGGCTCTGGATCCCACACAATTTCAGGTGGATTCCAACCCAATTTCAGGGGATTTCAACCCAATTCCAGGCTCTGAATCCAAGCCAATTTTAGGGATATCCAGCCCCAATTCCAGAAGGATCCTGGTGGAATTCCAAATTTTGGTGTCCCTCAAACCCAACCCCAGTTGGATCCACTCCAATTTAATGAGATTTCAACCCAATCCCAACTGGACGGATCCAATTTTCGCCGAACCCACCCTGACTCCAAACTCCGGGATTTTTCCCCGGATTTCCCCCCGGATTTTTCCAGAGCCCCCGGAGGTGGCGGTGTTCCCCAAGCACCCGGTGGAGCAGGACGAGCCCAACATCCTGATCTGCTACGTCACCAAGTTCTGGCCGCCGGCGCTGGGGCTGAGCTGGCTGCGCAACGGGGTCCCGGTGACGCGCGGCGTCCTGGAGACGCCGATCCCGCCGGGCCCCGCCCGATCCCGGGGGATTCCGACCCAATTCCAGGCCCTGGGATTCCTCCACCCCAATCCCAGTTGGGTCTCAACCCAATCCCAGTTGGTTCCACTTCAATCCCAGTTGGATCTCAGTCAAACCCAGTTGGGTCCAACGCAATCCCAGTTGGATCCCACCCAATTATTCAGGCTCTGGATCCCACACAATTTCAGGTGGATTCCAACCCAATTTCAGGGGATTTCAACCCAATTCCAGGCTCTGAATCCAAGCCAATTTTAGGGATATCCAGCCCCAATTCCAGAAGGATCCTGGTGGAATTCCAAATTTTGGTGTCCCTCAAACCCAACCCCAGTTGGATCCACTCCAATTTAATGAGATTTCAACCCAATCCCAACTGGACGGATCCAATTTTCGCCGAACCCACCCTGACTCCAAACTCCGGGATTTTTCCCCGGATTTCCCCCCGGATTTTTCCAGAGCCCCCGGAGGTGGCGGTGTTCCCCAAGCACCCGGTGGAGCAGGACGAGCCCAACATCCTGATCTGCTACGTCACCAAGTTCTGGCCGCCGGCGCTGGGGCTGAGCTGGCTGCGCAACGGGGTCCCGGTGACGCGCGGCGTCCTGGAGACGCCGATCCCGCCGGGCCCCGCCCGATCCCGGGGGATTCCGACCCAATTCCAGGCACTGGGATTCCTCCACCCCAATCCCAGTTGGGTCCAACCCAATCCCAGTTGGTTCCACTTCAATCCCAGTTGGATCTCAGTCAAACCCAGTTGGGTCCAACGCAATCCCAGTTGGA